AGTTGCTGAGCTGCTGGGGTTCTATTGAGGAGGTCCTTCCCATACCTATTAGTTCCAAAGTGTTTCCTACTCTCTCCTGTACCAACTTTAGAGTTTGGGGTCTGATATTAAGGTCCTTGATCCATTTTGAGTTGATACTAGTACAGGGTGATAAACATGGATCTAGTTTCAGTTTTTTGCAGATGGCTAACCACTTTTCCCAAAAACATTAGTTGAAGAAGCTGTCTTTTCTCCATCGTATATTTTTAACTCAGCAAAACCTTTCAAACAAACACCTGGCTTTCTAGGAAAAAAAAAGGATAAAATTATCTCTATGTATAATGGACTGTTGTTTCTGCCTGTGTAAGAAGGATCCAATAGAACCTTTTTACCTGTAGGAAATTTATTCCACATAATTCAGATGAGGACTGCCTGACAGACACAGAAGAGAGCTCCTGACTCCATGCCCTAGCTATGGGGCCTAGCCGTAGAACTTTAGCTGAAATTAAAAAAAAAAAAAAAGAAAGAAAAGCTCTTTCTCATCTGAGATAATAAACACAAAAGACTATGTTTGGAAAGATAAGGTGCCTGAAGATGAAGCCAACAGAGAAAATCATAGCCAAGATACTAGAAGAGAAAGACTATGCTTTGGTGATATAATTTAAGCTACTTGATGTAACTGTGAAAATTCTTAGTTGTGCAAAGCAATAATATTCCGTTTACTTTTCTTAAACTGGGTTGAGTTGTATTTCTGACTTACAAGCAAGAAACCTAACACAATGTATAGTAAGTGTTTAACTTCTCTACATACAATGCTTTCAGAGCTCTTATATTCCACCAAAAACAAACAAACAAAAAAAACCTCAACTTTTAAATAGTGCTCCTATCAAATTCTGTGAAAATAGCTGCTACTTTGGAGAAAAAAAAAATGAGGTTTACTTTGCAAAGATGATAGATGACAGGGCTGGATGCTTTTCTAAATAGATTTATGGTGACCCTGAACCACTCCTGCAAATGCAGACAAAAATTACCAAATATGCCTACAAAGTAATTTTATAGCCTCTAACCCTGTCTATAAATCAGCTATTTAAAAAAGTGTGCTTTAAATCAACCTTGTTCCAAAGAATGTGATATACTCTGACCCATATTCTGGCCCCAGTTCTAGATATACTCCACAAAACTACACTTTTTTTTTTTTTAAGGACAGGAACAAAAATATTGCACTATCGTTAAAAAAATTCTTAAGAGTTCACCAAGAAGAGATTAGTCAACTAAACAAATTCACAAAATAGAAAACGATATAACCTTTAAAGTGAAGTGTATAAAAACTACATAACATAAAAATAATTTGTTAGATTAGTTTTAAGAGAAGACTATAAAAGCTGTGCACAGTGGCTCACACTGTTGCCTGGGAAGTAGAGATCAGGAAGGTTGCAGTCCAAGACCAGCAGAAAGTTAGCAAGACCTCATTCTCAACCAACAAGCCGGGCATGGTGGTATGCAACTGTCATCCAATAGGCAGAAGGATTGCAGTTCGAGAGCCACCCCGGGCAAAAATTCAAGACCCTATTGGAAAAATAACTAAAGCCCAAAAAAGGGGGGGGAGGGGTAGAAGGCATTGCGCAAATGATACAGCCAGCACCTGCCTAACAAGTATGAGGCATTAAGTTCAATCTCCAGCACCACAGGAAAGAAAGGAAGAGGAAGGAGGAGAGGGAGAGGGAAAGAGGAAGAAGAGAGGGGAAAGAGACAGAGAAAAATAAAATTATGGATATACAAAGAAGACACTTGAAGGATAAAGGCTTGAAGGAAATAAAACATACACGCAAAGGTGATTTTGCATGGAAATGGTACTTTTAAGATGCTTTCTTCTGCTATCTTTAATTCAGTTTCTTTACTTGAAGGGCCATGCTATTGCTGTATTTAAAACCTTAAGATAAAGAACAGGGAACATTATCTACATAGAACCAGAACTATTCATTCCTATCAGTCCAAAGTAATTCAGTGTCTTGAACTTTGATGTATTCTCTTTAGCTATCACTTCAATTAGCCTATGTATAAGGAAAACAAAAACCTCTCACTATTTTAGAGTAGTATTGGTGAATGAGAGAAGAAAGAGTTAAGAAAAAAATTACTCATTTGATCTTGATGTTCAAGAACATTCTCTTCTGAATGACCCAGAAATTATGTCATTGGATTTCACAGAGAAGAAAATATAAGGAACAAATGATTTGGTATGACAGTGAATAAATACTCAAATTATTATGCAAATATTTAGATCAACTATGGGATAATTACTGAAAACATGTTTATATATATATATAAAATAGCTATTAGCAAACTTGAATATATAAATATATAGTTAACAGAAAGCAGGATATTGACAAGGGTAGGGGAAGAAGCAAGGTGGAACAAAGGGAAAGAATGTTAACAGAGGGTTAAATGTACTAAAATTATAGAGCTAAGGGGCTGGTGGAGTGGTAAGAGTGCCTGCCTAGCAAGCAAGAGCTCTGAGTTCAAACCCAAGTACCACCATAAAAAAAAATTAACAAAGCTATCAATAGGAAACTTAAATTTGAGTAAATAGCAAAACCCTATTTTTCATCTCAAGGAATAAATTCACAATTGATAAATTTATTAAGGCAAGTTGATAAAACAAAAATTAGAGGTAGCAGCATATCTTCTAAAAAAAATCTAAGAACCAACTAGGGGAAAAGTTAAATTGTTTAAAAATGATTAGAGACTATCTAGTAAATATAGTAAATATAGCTGAGGAAAAAGAATTGTGAAAACATGTAGTTGACATGCTTCCATTTGGTTATATTATTTTAATAAATACATATTTCAAAGGTATTTTTACGATTCTAGAGGCCCGCAGTATTTTAAGCTACTTAGCCTATATCAAACCTTCCTGTCTTCTTCTGTGTGCTTGTCCCATACTCTCCTTGCCTCCTCTCTGATTTTTGCTTCCTGTTTGTTCCCACTCTCTATTGTTTGATTTGCCTTCTCTCTCATTCCCTTCTATCTTAAGCCATGACAGGTCTCCCCTATCGTAACATACACACACACACACACACACACACACACACACACACACACACACACAAGTCTTTATTTCCTCTGAAATCTGGCTTTTAAATACAATCTTAGTTCGTGTAGGCGCCTATTAAAAAATACTATAAATTGAGTAGTTTACAAACCACAGGAGTTTATTTCTCACAGTTGTGGAGCCTGAGAAGTCCAAGATCCATGACCCAACAGGCTTGGTTTATAGTGAGGACCAGCTCTAATTCACAGATGATACCTTCTTGCTGCATCTTCACGTGATAGATAGGGTCAACAAGCTCCCATGCCATATTTTATAAAGGCACAAATCTCACTCATGAGGGATCTAGTCTCATGACATAATCCTCCTCCTAAAACACCCTATCCCCTTAATTCCACCACCTTGAGAGTTAAGATTTCAACAGATGAATTTTGGAGAAACACAGACATTCAGAACATAGCATAAATCAGTGTAATGCCGTTTTCACAGTTCTCATTCCACTTGATTTTGTACCGAAGCATTTCATATGGAATCTTTCTTTTCAGTATTTTTCTTGGAGGTAGGAGTGGTAATGAAAGGAGAGTGGAAATACCTCCTAAGACTAGTGTGCCAAGTAACATCTAGGAAATGCTGGCATGATTTGTTCCAATCACAAATGCATCACTACTTTGTTCAAAAATAGTGAATCTTCAGCCAGGTGCTGATGGCATACACCTGTAATCCTAGCTATACTTGGGAGGCTGAAGTCAGGATTGTAGTTCAAAGCCACCCTTGTAAAAAATTCACAAGACCCCATCCCAACCAATAGCTGGACATAGTGTCATGCATCTGTCATTCACAGCTAAGGCAGGAGGCTGAGATCAGGAGGATGGCAGTTTCAGGCCAGACTGGGGAAAAAAATATGCAAGATCCCATCACAACAGAAGAAAAGCTGGGAATGGTGACATGTGCCTGTCATCCCAGTGACAATGGGAAACTTAAAATGAGAGGATCGTGGTCCAGGCTGGCCTGGGCAAAAGCAGGACCCTAACTCCAAATAACAAGTGCAAAAGGGGCTAAAGGTATGGTTCAAGCAGTAGAACACCTGCCTCAAAAGCCTGAAGCCCTGAGTTCAAACCCCAGTATCATTAAAAAAGAGAAAAAAACAGTATTTAATCTTCTATCCTTTGGCACTAAAGAAATAATCAAAGCTAACAACTAAAAACAATCAACTGGTTAACATAAGAATTGTGACATTTATTAGTTATGTTTCATTGTCTTTCCTTTCATAATCATATTAATATACAAAACTAATAATGGAAAAACAAACCTGAAATACTCTAAAGATACTGAGTCCAAAGCTCAAAATGATGATATTACCTCAGTACAGTTATTCTGTAGTAAATCTCAATACTCCCCAGAGGAAACAGTGAATATCTTACAAATTAAGAGCAAAAATGAGAGAAATAAAACTGGGTAAGAAAAACCAGTGAAAGAACTAGTACTGTCAAAATTCTGAAATTCTCCATTAGACAATATCCTGGGTTTCTTTAAAAATATTATCATTTTTGACTTTTTAAAGTATATTTATTTGTTATTTTGAGTCATTCATGTCCATCTGTAACAAAGAGGCACAAATCAGAAAGGCCCATGAAAAGCTTTAGTATAGGAAAAGGAATTAATTTATGGAAGCCATACTTATGGGAAACTAGCTGGTTTTATTATTATCAATGCCAAACAAGACTTTAAAATCAATTAAAATTTATGTAATTAAGCATAAATTTACTTTCACATTTACCTACAACAATATTAAATACATTTCTTGGCATAAAGACATGGCCTTTGGAATTTAAAATGCTCCCAACTGCAAGAGTACACATATAAAACTCCCATTATTGTTTATGTAATAGTGGATTAGATAATCAAATTAAAATAGTTCTACTATCTAGAACAAAATAGAAATAATTTACTCATGAGATTCATATTTAAATCATTTTTATTTACAAAATACTATCCTGAGAATTATGATTCCATTAAGCTTCAATTTGAGCAAAAGTATCATCACTTAAGTAACAGCAGTTACTTAAACTGAAAATGAGAGATAACTCAAAATTACTTTTGCAGAATGCTCAAAAATATCATCAGACTTCTTGTGGTTCTGAAGGTTCAACAGCAGTTTCTTTTGAAGGAGGAATCAACCCTGAAGGGAACTCACTTCTACTTTCAGAGTGTAGGGGTGGGGGGAAGTATCCAGCTCTTGGGGGAGGATATTGAGGAACAGCAGTCGGTGAGTAGACTGTTCTCACTGTTCAAAGAGATTGATACAAGGTATTTTTTTAACTTTAAGAACCTGCACAATCCTACTAAGTCATTAGCTTCATAACTTACATTATAGCTTCATAACCAGAAATTATTTTATCTAATAAATTAATTTTTACATTAAAAAATATACTTTCTTTAATTACTCTAATGATTAATGAGAAGATCATTAATTTTGGACACAATTTTTATCTTAATCTTTCAAAGGGAAGAATTATTTCAAAATATTCAAAATTTACTTTAAAAAACTTTTTCAACGTAATATAATCTTCACCAGACTTAACACTCAGATTAGTGGCTTTTGACTGGATATTATACTAAGACATATCTACTTTTAGTATAAAACTGTCTCACACTTCCCCAAACAAAATTCATTTTAATTCACCTCAAACTTTAAAAATGGAGGAGAAATGAGGGAATAACTACATAAGACAACTAATAGGCTTTTGTTATTATTTGATGAACATATCTTTATCCTGCAGAAGCCTATTGTTCTAAATGGCAAAGTATAGTAATAAGAATAATTATTCCTTTTTTCTTATGATGCTCTGAAAGAATTTCAATAAATCCAACAAACAAATCAATAAGACCACATGGTAACTACATATGGAAGCTTTTTTAAATACTCTAGCCAGTAATTTTAATTCTAAAATATAAATTATAATCACTTTAACTAATTGTCACAAGTTTCTACCCAATGAGATGCAAATAATTTTAGTGTAACATAGAAAAGTCAATTGACTTTTTTTGAAGTTACAACTTCAAAAAGCCAATGATTTTCTACACTACTAAAATACAGAAATAATTCCACATTTTTTTTCAGATTAACCCCTTTTATTCTCTCCCTTACCATTTCCCTCCTACCCTGTTATTCAACAGCTTTCAGTATGTCTGTTACATCATCTGTCTGCACAGATGCAATGTGTGATTCCACACTGTAAAGATGAAGTCTCATGACAGTCTACTGATGCCTTCTCCTTTGGGAGAAGTAATGGTATACTCACAGAACATTAGAAAAACTGTTCTTCTACTATATTACATGAGTAGACAACAAAATTAGTATCTCAAACACATATTAAGTTAAAAAAAAGCCTACTTGGGAATGAAGGATGTGGTGGGCCAGGGAAATCCCTTGGCAGAAAATAATCTCGAGGGGCTCCATACATGCTTGCTAGAGGAGGTGGAGGAAAAGGAGGCCCCCTTCTTATAAAATGGCTCCTCGGATCCATGGGAAACAATGGGCCTCTGACAGGAGGAGGTGGTGGAGGAACGAAGCCAGAGCCAGCTGCTTCACTTTCAGCAGGGAGAGTAGAGTCAGGCACATTTGAATTCTGTAACAAATTCACATTGGCAATCACTAAAACAATAAAATTTATAACAGTTTTCCTGAAAATGTTAAGCTTACAAGAAAGCACATAGGCACCTATGAAGGAAACAGTCCATGACAAACTTAGAAAGCTACAGATAGTCAGTTTTCCACATTAACCTATCAGCTGGTTTTTGGCTACCATAAATATTCAACTTGATCCAACAGAGTAATATTCTGGCTGAAAATAAAACACAAATGTAGTTCAAGAGTATCAAAATGAAAAATGCTTATGTTTACATTTTCAGTTATCAAAAACGATATTGTTAAGTACAGTAAACAAAAATATACTTTAAAACATTTAAATGTTGGATAAATAAAAATCCAAGAGGGAAAATCCAAAATCTCATTCAACTAGGAGGCCCTCCCCCCAGTATACAAACTATACTTTTTTTTTTTTTTTTTTAAATAGAAGCTGCCAGGCTTCTTCTGTTGTTGTTTGTTTGTTTGTTTGAGACAGGGTCTCCCTATGTAGCCTAGGCTAGCCTTGAAATTGCAATCCTTCTGCCTCAGCCTCCCAGGATCTAGAATTGTAGGCATGCACCACCATGCCTGGCTTGGAACTTTTACTTCATCAACGTAAGTTAGAATCCAGAAAAGAAACAGTTTTAATGCTAAGTAGGAAGTATATTTGTGAAAAGACAGAAGCAACTCTATACTACAAAGTAGATTATTAGCTATCATTTCTAGTCTAGTAAACCAAGAGATTACAAAGTTCCTGAATACATGGGTAAAAATCCACTATCCATACTTACACCAAGATCATCTCTGGTATCATTTCTACCGGATTCCATTTCTGAAGACACTGGACCATCTAGACATAAAAGTTAAACCATGAAAAATACATGAGTTATCATTTCATTCCTAGATTATTTCCAGATCAAAAATGACACTGGTATCTTCCCACTCCCCTTGTTGGCACAGAAACCAGCTTGATACCAGCATTCTATATTAGGACCACAAGAACAGCTTGAGTTCCCTGGAAATTGTGGCAAACTCAGAATTCTGCAGCAGAGTGTGACTGACTTCTCCAGCTGGTTCTTTACTGCTACCTCACTGCAGTAGCATTATAAGGGGACATCTGGGAGGTAACAGCCCTTTCCTTCTCTTTGCTCTCTTCCTTTCTTCCTCCTAGAGTAGCCACCTGAATTTAGGCCCTGTTTCCAAAAATATTTTCTTGGAAAATATTTCCAGGAAAGGCTTGGTCTCCATGAACATAAATTCAAAGTTTCCTCTGAGCATACCTACCTAGTCTCTCTTAGTTTCTCATTTAGTCACTTTTACTACACCTGTCCTTGGATATCACTTAGGTTTTTTGTCCTCTGACCTAACCCTCAGTTTCCTCTTTTCTTCCCCTAACGAACGTGAGTCCAAAGTCTACCACTACGGCCAGTCATCTCCCTACCCTATTGCTCATTATTCACTTGTGTTTCATACCAATTTAATTGTTATGATTAAGATTGATCCAGATCTCTGCTTCTACTATGCCTATATCTGAAACACTCAGCATTGCTAGGAACAAAAAAATACCACAGTCATGCAGACTAGCACCACTCCAGCATCACCACCATACTCCTGTCTGCACACCCTAGCCTTCTTTCTGTATCTTCAAACCAGCTTTCTCTTCAGCAGTTCCAAAACTCCATTCTCCTAGACCTACTGTGCCAGTCATTTACACACACCCTTAAATTTTTATGATCAAATATATCACAACAAAAGTCATATTCACATGACTTTTCACCCAAGTGCCACAGTCAGGAACCTAAGCATCCACCAAGGCTCCTTCTCCCTCACTTCTCACTTACCTTCAATCCTAAATCCTCAGATTCTTTTTGCAGTCATTTCGTATCAACCTATCCCCTCTGCTAAATCACCATCATCATTTAGATTCCTGTCATAGTCTCCTAAAAAGTTACCCTGCCTCCAATCTTCATTGTTCTAATTATTCTCTACAATGCAACCACAGAAATTTCTCTAAACTTCAGACATATCTTATTATATTATTGCTCTGCTTAAAATTTTATCATGTATTCCCATTATATCAGAATAAAGTCCAAACTTCTGAACAGGAATTGAAAAGCCTTGCAAAATCTATATAATACTTACCTCCGTTAGCTACATGTTTAAAGATTCCCTAAAGCACACTCCACCTTTAAGTCTTTAAAATTGATATTCTCTCATCCTAGCATACTTTGATCATCATTTTGATCCAGCTAATTCTTCCCTTAATTCTCAGTTAAATGCCACATCTTCCATGAAGTTTCCCTGATTATCTCACACTTGAAATACTGGCATCTTATCTAGGTTAGTGCCCCATATTCCTGTAACACTTTCTACTCATAAATCCTGTCTCTATCTAGTGTAAATGCCTATAGGCCTTTATTTTTTTAATTAGGACCTCAAGGCATAACAAATGCTGAATTCCTATCTCTTGTTTACCACTGACATACAAGTACCATAATATCTGTCATAAAGTAAGCTTTCAATAGATACAGTTATATGCCACATTACGATGCTTTGGTCAATAATGGACCACACATATAACCATGGTTCCCTAAGATGGCACTGCTGTTATTTTAGCCATCTTCGTTTGGTAAGTACATTCTCTGATGTTTGCACAATAACGAGTCACAAAGCAATACATTTCTTGAAACACATTAAGCAACACATCATTAAGCATCACCAGTAAGCCATACATGACTATATTAAGTGCATCAATAGCTTGTTCCACTGTCCTCTCTTTCCAATAAGGTATAGTAATCAAAGCCATAACTCTGGCATCAGACAGATATGCACTCAAACCTTGCTTCTGATACTTCCTACCTTAGATCTTGAGAAATCTTTTTTTTTTTTTTTAATGGTAATAGGGTTTGAACACAGGGCCTCACGCTTGCACTATTCCACTTGAACCATTCTGCCAGCCAGGAGTGTAGATTTGAGAGCCTGGCTGCCTGGATTCAAATCCCAGCTCAGGAACTGATTTTTTTTTTTGTAGTGCTGGTATTTGAACTCAGGGCCTTGCACTTGCTAGGCAGGTGCTCTACCACTTCAGCCATGCCTCCAACCCATAAAATGGGGATAACAAAATCATCTACTTTATGGGGTCATTGTTAAAATGAAATAAATACATTTTCATTCAATAAATGTTTGCAGAGCACTAGTGCTAGTGAATGTTTTAGCCATATCTCTCATCATTCTCCTTCAGGTACTGACATAAAAAAGACAAACTAACAAAGTACACATAAACTGACACATACATACAATATAGCATACACTGACAAGCTAATAATAATACATAGTATTTATGTAGGATTTTGCTATTTACAAAACACTTCCACACATATGAACTCATTAAACCCTGTAATAACCTTGTCAATTGATGAAAAACTAAATTTTACAGCTATTATTCATCAGTGGCTTGCGATGCCCCTTCTTTTTGTTTATGCTCAGTTAATTGTTTATGTTCCCTCAAAAGCAGTTCAAACACCACCTCCTTCATGGAGTTTTCTCTGATCCATCACCAAATGAGAAATCTCCACATCTCTAAACAAAGCATACTCTCTTATGGAACTCACCATTCTGACCAATATCAGATAAACATAAACATTTGTCTTTCACTGCTATCTAATTATTAGCCCCTTACTATAATTATATCCTGTACCATGACATACAGGGTACCTCTTAAACAGTAGGCACTTAAAATTTATTTGCTAAATTAAGCTGGGCTTAGTGGTGCATTCCTTGAGTGCCAGCTACTTGGGAAAATAAGGAAGGAGAAACACTTGAGCACTTCTGATTTGAGATCAGCCTGGGCAATAGGACAAGACTCAGTCTCAAAAAACAAAAGAAGAAGAAGAAAGATTTTAAGTTATACTTTGAATAAAAGCAGCAGAATCTGTGACACAACTGCATGAATATTCAAGAGGTTAGATCAAGCTTTGAAGTTCTGGGGAGAAATATCTGAATTATAGATATGGAAGTGATTAGTAGCATATATAATTAAAGCTGATGAGTGGACAAGATTTCTCAAGATGAAAACAGAGTAAGACCAAGGTTGGCACTCTGAAGATCCCATCATTTAAGGCTGGTCAGAAGTAGTAGACTCCACCAGAGAGACTGAGAAGTAGCCTGTAGACAGGAGGGCTAGAGAGAAAGAAGGGTCTTATCATGGAAATCAAAGGCTGAGAGCATTTCAAGAGGCAGCAACTGTGGAAATACATAGCTCCCCTTTGTCCATGAGGAACATGCCAGAGACCCTGGATAGTACTGAGCCCTATATATACTGTTTTTTCCTATAATGAACACAGGCCCTGTGTACTACTGCAGAGCTAGTAACTGAGATGGCCACGGATGGGCCAGTAGTGGATACTCTGGACCAAAGAATGACTCATGTTCCAGGCAGGACAAAGTAAAACCATATGAGATTTTACCATGCTACTCAAAAAAGTGCACAATCTAAAACTTAACGAATTTTTTCCCTGGAATTTTCCATTTAACACTTTCAGATATAGTTGACAGCAGGTAACTAAAACCATGGAAAGTGAAACCACAGATAATGAAGGAGCTATTACAATATAAAATGAAGACTGATAGTGTCTATTTTAATTCAGCTTGTAAAGCGATTCCCAGAAATTATTAGCTAAATTACATTCCACTAGGGAACAAATGAAAATATGTAAAAAAAATTAAATGACACTAGCTTAGAAATGGGTATTTAATCATAGGTTTAATCATTCCATTAAATGTGAATTAGTGAAGGGGGGGCAATTTCAAAAGCCAAATAGTTAGAAAGAATTATCTTAAACATAACCAGATAACAGAAATCTAAACTGTAACTTTGCTTCTCTGCTTGCTAGTAAAAATATATTGATTTTCTAAATGAATAAACACTTCAACTGGATAATGCTCCCCAATATACACCCTTTCCTCCAGAAACTTATTACCAATAAATTTATTTTTAATTTTTTACTTGTTAAAAATTCCATTTTCCTAGCCAGATACAGGTAGCTCACGCCTGTAATCCTAACAACTCAGGAGGCACAGATCAAAAGAATCTCAGTTCAAAGCCAGGCCTGGGCAGATAGTTTGAGAAGCCCTATTTCAAAAATATCCAACAGAAAACTGGACTGCTGGCGTGGCTCAAGTGGTAGAGTGCCTGCCTAGCAAGTGTGAGACCCTGAGTTCAAGTTCTGCTATCGCTAAAGGAAAAAAAGTTCCATGTTTTCCTTTCACATTATGCACTTTTTTCCCCCAGTGCTGGGGTCTGAACTCAGGGCCTACACCTTGAGCCACTCCACCAGACCTTTTTTGGAATGGGTTTTTTCGAGATAGGATCTTACAAATGATTTGCCCAAGCTGGCTTCAAACCATGATCCTCTGCTTCCTGAGTAACTAGGACTATAGGCGTGAGCCACTGGCACCCAGCTCATTATACACTTTTGATAACTATAGCAGATACATGTATTTCTCACTTCAGTGAGTGGCTGTGACATAGTTTAAATAAAAGAGACCTAATAAACAATAGATTGCTCAGTAAACGTTAGTCAAATATACAGGAAACTGATTAAACCATCAACAGAACATGCACCTAAATTATTTTTCTGGTAGACTTTCACATATTCATTCCCTTTTTTTCTGGTGAGATTACAGTCTGAACTCAGGGCTTCACACTTTCAAAGCAGGCACTTGCAAAGCATGCGTGAGCCACATCTCTAGTCCATTTTGCTCTCTCATTTTGAAGATGGGGGTCTCAAACTATTTGCCCAGGCTGACATCGAACCACAATCCTCCTTAATCTCATCCTCCCAAGTAGCTAGGACTATAGGCATAAGCCACTGACATCCAGTGGTACACATTTGCTTAATTTCCCTGCTTACTAAACAGGATATAAGTCAGTGGACTGGAAAACATTAAAAATTAGCCATGGAACAGAATGAAGTTTACCATGATAGGTAAATCCACAATAGCAGTACTCAAACCAACTGCCAACATGTGTTTAGATGTCATGTCTGTATACAGGGCAACGAGAAACATAAAACCAGGAAATAAATTTTGACCTTAAGAGCTACCAGAGATAGCAATAGCAATTATGTGAGTCTGTTACTAAGCTTCTGGTTCTTTAGTATGCCAGTTATTTAAACACATATACACACACGGCATTACTTACCCACTTTGTCCAAAGAAGGCATATTAAAGCTCTGAAGCTCTGCTGGTCCGGACAGTCTGCCAGAATTAGAATAAAATCTATCTTGCCTTTGGAGAGGAACAACTGGATCAGGATATGGCTGGCCTACAAAACAAGTTTTTAAAATATCTTCAGTAATGTAAACATAAATCTAGTTTACCTAAGTTTAATACACTGAACTTAGACACCTATCCTGCTTCCTAAAAATTCTGACCCTTACCATTAGTAGGCAATAGTGAGCAATTTTTTAAAAAATACTATAAGCATACTTTACTTTGGTATTTAAAAAACAAGTATAACTTGGTACTTTGGTTTTAAATGTTTTAATTACTGTGTATAGAAATGCCAGTAAAATCTGAGTATGAAATGTTTAAACAAGTTATCTTGTTAGAATGCATGGAAAGAAAAATATAGGTACTTAAATTCATTTAACTTTAATAACAGTAGATCAAAATAGATATACCAATGTATTTAAAAAAAAGACTTTAAGGAGATAGCTTACAAGGGGGAGGGAAATAGAAAATGTAAACAGCAAGAAATTTAGCAGAACATGTGACATATGTCATCAGAGCAGAGCAGAAAGAGTATATCATTCAGAAGTCATCACTGGTCAAATTTTCACTAACTTCAAAATTTTGGAGCCAGGCACCAGCAGCTCACAGCTTTAATCCTAGCTACTTAGGAGGCAGAGACCAGGAGGATAACACTTGGAAGCCAACCTGAGTAAATAGTTTCTGAGATTCTATCTTGAAAAAAACCAACAAAAAAAAAGGGCTGGCAGAGTGACTCATGTAGTAAGAGTGCCTGCCTGGCAAGCCTGAGGTCCTAATTTCAAACCCCAGTACCACCAAAAAATAAAAAATAAAAATAAAGGGGCAGAGCATCCATCCCAAACTGAAGGGAAAGAGCTAACTCAACAGATGGACAGAAGGCTTCACACTGCTGAGGTTAAGGACATCTGGACAGACACAAATTTGGACATAGACTGACCCAGGTGCATCTTCAGCCACCCAACTTGGTCCTAAGAGTCACTGAGGATGCAGAATGGTAATTCCTAATTCCTCAAGGAACTCGCCATTCTTAAAAAAATTATAGGTAGTCTACTCATTCTTGAGAGGTGACGGCAGACTTTGTTGGTTAGGTAAGCATATGTCCAATTCTAAAACTATGGAAGTCAAAGAGGGCAAATTGTGTGACTCTCTCTCCTAGCCAATTATAGATAAGAACAAAGAGCTCCAAATTGCCACTCATGGCTGTCACAGTCAGTGGGTTCATAATGCAAACTCCACATAAAAGTATTAGATATGTCATTCCTCTACACCTTACTCAGTCACAGGGGACTCAACCAAAACATCTCTCACACACCAAGTCAAGGAAAGCCTTAGCACCAACCATAGTGAGTGAAGAAAATTATATTTAATGAACTCCCCAGGGTCAGGACATGTGAATGAGGAAAAAAAGGTCCAGATATTCTTGAAGGCTCATTTCAAAATCTCAGCAAAGCGTTGTCTCGGTGGGTCAGAATAAGCCCCATAAAAGCCAAGGCTAACTTTTGAGACCAAAATTGTACTCTCCCTTTTACTTGAAACATGGGATTAATTAAATAGCAGAGTTGAGCAAGAAAATAAAATTGAGAAACCTGAAAACTTCTCAACACATTGTTTCTAAAATACATCCCTACATCATCAACAACCAAATAAACTTAAAAAAATTGTTAAATCTTACTGCTTTATAAATCATATGTCCATGTTGCTCTCCACTGGCAAAAGTAATCCATTCCTTAAATCCAAGGCCTATTATGTGCCAAGTACTAGCAATACAACAGTGTTCGTCTCAATATAGTCTGGGCCTTAGTACTCTAAATAGTTACAGAAATTAGTAATAATAATGTGACCAATGTCTTAATAAAGGGGGGATATAAATAAGCAGTGGCATATCTAATTCTAATCAGAAGACCAAAAATGGTACCAAAAAGAAAGTAAAAGGGCTGGGAACATTGCTCAAGTGGTACAGCGGCCTGCCTGGCAAGCATGAAGCCCTGAGTTCAAACCCCAGTACTGTCACCAAAAAAAAAAAAAAAAAAGAGGCAGTAAAACTTGCCCTAAAAACATGAAAAAATAAACATGGCTATTTGGTCAAATTCCTGCACACATGAGAGGCATATGATAAATGAAAGACTGAAACACAGAAATAAGCTTTTTTTTTTTGCTTTCACATCTTTGTTTTCCAAGACTTTTATAACAGGTGGTTAAAAAGAAAGACTGGAAGAAGGAAAAGGATCAGAAAAAGCAATGAATGAGGAATGGGAGTGAATATGCAGGACATTCTGCAGCTTCATAAATGAAGAATTCTACTGGAGGAACAGCTATACTCACACACTTTGCTCATAGAATAATGGGGCAACATCTTAAAAATGAAAATACGATATGTCATCACATACCAATTCCACTTCCTGGACAAATATACAGAACAAATGTACAAAAGTGTCTGCATTAAAATAATAAACTATATGTGTGTATAAATACATTCACATATGTATAAACATGCAAAGAAGTCAAAAACATAATGCTGATAAGGCAAGTTGATAAAAAGGAATTTTTTTTTTCCTTTTTCTTTTATTATTCATATGTGCATACAAGGCTTGGTTCATTTCTCCCCCCTGCCCCCACCCCCTCCCTTACCACCCACTCCACCCCCTCCCGCTCCCCCCCTCAATACCCCGCAGAAACTATTTTGCCCTTATCTCTAATTTTGTTGTAGAGAGAGTATAAGCAATAATAGGAAGGAACAAGGGGTTTTGCTGGTTGAGATAAGGATAGCTATACAGGGCATTGACTCACATTGATTTCCTGTGCGTGGGTGTTACCTAAAAAGGAATTTTTTAAAATCATATACATGGCTGAAAGTTAAAGATACTAAATTCATGAGCAGTAGCTATTAGGAAAGGAAGGAAGACAATGTACCCAGGAAAGGAAAGGAAACAGACTTCAACTACTTTATTTCTTTTTTATGTTTTACATATTTATACTTTTTATGCTATTCACAATTTTAATGCTATTTCTTCTTATATATTACTTACGCATTTAAACATGAATACACACATCTGAACCAAATATTAATATGCAAATTTTCAGAAGTGAGAGGATTGTGCTATACAATCTCACTTTGTGACCTTCAGCAAGTTACCTGACCTCTCTGTACCTTTGTTTATTCATCTGTAAAGTGAGAGTAACACTCTTAGAGTGTTACAATGATAAATAAAGTGCATTTATCATAGTGTCTGGCAGAAAATAAGCACCCGAAAGTAAATGCAAGTTTACTGTTCTGATTGATGCTCAACAATGCCCTGTAATCACACTACACTACTCTGAGATTTGAGCTTCTCCATTCTCCAAATAGCTGTGGTATACTTTTTCACTCTAAGTCTCTGACAATCCTCCTTTTTCTTCCCCTCAGCTGATCTATGCATATCAAGAAAACTGAAGCAAAGGGACACCTCCACTTACCCTCCCCCAATCCTTACATTTGTACTCACTTGCTCTTTCTTCCTTCTTTTTACAATGGGTAAGTGACCCAACTCCTATTTAAGCTCTAATCACACTCTGGATACTACACTTTTTACTTACTATATCCTTTCTCATACATACATTAATTTCTTCTATTCTGAACTATTCCTATGAGTAAATAAACATGTTGTAATATTATCCATTTTAAACAACATAACACACTTCTCTTTCCATCCACATTCTTGCCTACATTCAAAGCAGAATTTTTCAAAAAGATGTCTACATTTATCCCCACATCCTAATCTCTCATCAACCTACTCTCTTCAGGAAGACTAGTAAGCAAAAATTAGCTTATATAAACCTCTTTATATAACTTATCAACAAAATATTAATCATTAGAATTCACAGAGGATCACCATACAAGAAGATATGAGTTGTTAGGACTGGGGATGTAATTCAGTAGAAGAGCACTTGCTTAGCATGCATAAGGCCCTGGGTTTGGTTCCCACACTACAAAAGAAGGAAAAGAGGAAGAGGAAGGAGGGAGGACAGGGAGAGGAAAAGCAGAATTGTAGACTTAAGAGTAGTAGCCTAAAAATTTGTGAAAAAATTTAAAGTAAATATTACCCTGTGAGAGAAATAAAAGAGCAAGTGAAGACTTTAGAAAACCTTATTAAGTTTTATGTAGGCTCCAAAATCTCATGAAGGAGATCAAAAGGAGACTAACTTAAGACAAACTTTGATTCCACCAAATGAAAGAAAGTTCACAACGCAAAAGATCAATTGTCTGCATAAATGCCTACAAATCAGAGCCAGTAAAATCTATGTCTGTGATTCCAAAGCGATGTGATGATCTGCTAGCATGCTTTTTTGTCAAAATAAACATTAATACTATTCTCATCAATCCAGGCCGCATATATCTCTTATTTGTTTAGCTCTTCAAGAAGAGAAAGACTTGACACCAGTGGCTCATGACTATAATCCTACCTACTTGGGAGGATGGTGTTTCAAGGCCAGCCTGGGCAAATAGTTCCCAAGACCACATCTCCAAAATAACCAGAAAAAATGAACTGGAGGTATGGCTCAAGCAGCAGAGCATATGTTTTGCAAGTGCAAAGCCCTGAGTTCAAACCCCAGTTCCAACAAAGAGAGACAAAGAAAATATTATTCAGAAATAAAAAAAGAACAAAATTATGTTGTTTGCAGGTAAATGGATGAAACTGGAGATCATCATGCTAAGTGAAATAAGCCAAGTTCAGAAAGACAAAGGTCAGGTTTTCTCTCATATGTGGCAAACAAAAAAGATAAACATATACAGCCAACATTTACTCCAGGTAGATTTCTGATCTAATATGAAAAGTGTAACTATTTACTATGTAACATGGGATATTACCTCCATGTCCTAAAAGGACATTACTGTACCTTACTGAAGGGTAGCTTGAATAAGAAAACTATAAAATAAATAACTACTAAGTTGAACTATATTAAAACCAACATCCTATTCATCAAAAAAAAAAAACCCAAGGAAAGTAAAAAGGGAAATGAGGACCTGTCTAAGATATTCATTATGTATATACACCATGAATGAAAAGAGCTCATTTCCAGAAAATATATAAACTACAATTTCCAGAAAAATAAAATCTGAAATGTCAAACGTGCAAATTTGAAAACCGACATGCAACTCAAAAAGAAGTATGACAGGGCCTGGGGTGCAGCTCAGTGGTAGAGTACTTGCCTAGCCATGTAAGGCCCTTGGTTCAATACACAACATGGGTTTTAAAAAAAAAGAAAGAAAAGTATACAACCATAGAGAAAAATCAAATGGCCAACAAACTTATGAAAGAAGAACACAATCTACCAGTAATCAGAAAGCCAGCTGCGGTGGCTCACACCTTTGTAATTCCAGCTACTCAGAAAGCTGTATTCAAAAGGATTATGGAACAGGCCAGCCCCAAACAGAATGATGAGACCCTATCAGAAAAATCACTAAAGCATAAAAGATCTAGGGGCATGGCTCAAGTGGTAGAGCACCTGCCTAGCAAGTGCGAGGCTCTGAGTTCAAATGCCAGTAGTGCAAAAAAATAAAAATAAAAAAAGAAAAGAAAGTAATAGTCAGGGAAGTACAAATTCAAATCATAATGGTATTACTACACACTGACCAGACTGGCTAAAATTAAAAAGCCACTGTTGGTGGGAGTATAAAGTGATACCAGCCTATAGGAATATTGCTCTGTATAATGTCTTAACACATAACCAACAAGCATATCCTATGACTCAGCAAGTCTTACCCAAGACATAATTCAAATGCATGCATGTACCAAAACATACACACAACAATGTTTTGTTCATAATAAATCTTAACCTGTCCATCAAATATAAATAAATTGGTATATATTAACACAGGAAGTATGATACACCAAGGAAAATAAATTATAGGTACATGCAACACAGATGAATCTCCAAATGACAATTTCAAATCAAGAAAGTCAGACACAAAGGACCATATACTATGCAATTCCACTGAACTGATACATTTAAAAATAGTCCAGACCTATTTATAGTGTGATAAATGAAAATAAAGTTTGCCTTTGGGTAGGTTAACTGATAAGAGATGGCTTTCAGAAGACTAGTAATACATTATTTTTCCAGTTGGGTGTTAGTTACAAAAATATGTTCATGTAATAATTTGTTGAAGTATATTTGTGCATTTTTCTGCATGTATGTTAAGTTTTCCAATAAATTTTTTTTCTGTAAGGCATGATGGCATACCCCAATCCCAAAACTTAGGAAGCTGAGGCAGGCAGGAGGATCACAAGTTCAAGGCTAGCCTGGGCTACATAGCAAGACCCTGTCTTAAAAGAGCAAAAAACGATGGGGGCATGGCTGAAGTAGTAGAGAGCCTGCCAAGCAAATGTAAGGCCCTGAGTTCAAACTCCAGTATTGCTCAAAAGAAAAAAAAAAAAAAAACACCACGGGCAGGTGGAGCACTTACCTAGCATAAACAAAGTCCTTGGGTCAATCCCTACCACTACCCCCAAAAAAATTCAAATAGAATATTATTTTATTAACAAGTTGAAAAGATATCTCTATATTAATCCTATCTCATGATGGAAAACAATATATGACAAAGAATTAAAGTTTTCTTTAAAAGTCTTTATACACACATAACACAAGTTTTCTTTCTAAAGCTGTTCTGTTCAACTCAGTAGCCACTATTTGTCACATGTGGCTTTTTAAATTTTATCTTAATTAAAATCAAAATTTATAAGTAAAGCACAGTGGCACATGTCTATAATCCCATCACTCAGGACACTGAGGCAGGATTCCAGGTTCAAGGCTGGCCTGTATCACATAGCAAGACCCTGTCTCTAAATAAATAAATAAATAAATAAAACAGAAAGGAAAATTAGGGCTCCAGTGGTAGAACACTAAATTCAAACACTATGGCCAAAAAACAAAAAAATTAAAATTCTGTTTGTCAGATTTCATTAACGACATTTAAATTGTTCAGTAGACACAAGAGCTTAGTGGCTATGACACTGGACAGTGCAGATATAGAACCTCACATCAATGCACAAAGTTCTATGAGATGGAGCTGAAACAGAAAAAGATCTATTTCAGTAATAATATGCATTTCATTATATTCTCTCATCATTCTATTAAATCACACTTCATTTTTCACAAACCTGTTTTCTTTTCTGAGTACCTTTGCATAAACTTTTCAGAGGAACTTTTATACAGATCCTGAAACTATACTAAAAACACAGAGTTAATATTTTAAACCCTTCTGTTTGGGAAAGCTACCAACCCAGTGTATCTTTCCATCTAAATCTATGGCAACAATTTTCAAACTGTACATCACAACTAGAGCTGTAATTAGAAGTATTCATCTGTAAGATACTATCATTGCCTACTTAACAAATGGTGGTATCTCAATTTCATTTTAAAATCAAAAATGAGTAAATTCAAAGTTTTTATGAAAATTACTCTTTCTGAAGTTAACCCTTGCAGAGAAAGTATATAAGCGATTTAAACTACTTTAAGCAATAATATTTTCATTCTAAATATGAAAACACCTTTGTGCTTTTTCTCATGGGGTGAAGTACTAGTCATACTGTTCATTTTTTGTTACAATTTAGTATTTACAAAGAATTTATGATGGACTGGTTATTTCTCGACATTTTTCTACTGATGTTTTAATTGATGACTATGTGATATGGGACTATTATCAATTTATTTATTATTTATCAAGAACATTTCCCTGCTAAAATTATAAATAAAATTTCTAAATTAAATTTACAAGACAAAAATAAACTGAAAACTAATCTGAGTGCTTCTTATGTAGGTACTCAAAATTGTGAAAAAAAAATTAAATTATATGCGCAAAAACATTTGTACTTTCCTGCAAGTTTATTTTATCCAATAAGGGTTTTTAAATCTTTTGATTTTAAAATAATCTATTAAAGATTAATAGAAAGTGCAAAAATAGTACAAGAGGTCCTGTATACACTTTACACAGCTTCCTCCAACATCCCTTCCTAAGTTCAGTGTAATATGATCACGAGGAAACTGACCTTGGCACATGCATGTGTATAGTTCTGTGCCATCTTATCACTTGTTGGTATGTGTGATCATTTGAGTTACAGAGTTATCTGTCTACATGTATGTGTATATCTACTAATGTGTTTATCATCTACATGGTACTGGCTGAAAAAAGATGATTACAAAATAGAGTGAATTATATATTAATTACACAGAAGTGACCAAAGAATTTTAACAACTATGTTTCTGAATGTACATCTTTTAAAAATTCCTAAAAGATATATAACTAAATTCTGGGAAGGACATACTAGGATGATAGATATGGGAATTTTTCAATTTTTCACTTTCCTAATTATACATCTCTTGTGCAGCAGTGGTGGTATAGTGGTGAGCATAGCTGCCTTCCTAATTATACATCTCTACATTCCTAGTAAGTATGTATTACTTTTTATAAGCAACAAAAATAAATTCTACTTTTGAGAAAGCTTTCTGTAATGTGAAAAATTATCTACTACTATTCTATTTGAAAATCTATTGCTTTCTAAAATGTTATCATGCTTTTTCTTAAACAAAGAACACACATACTCCTCTTTCCTTCCATTCCCATATGTTCTGCATGCTGCTGCCTTCCAAATACAAACAAACACTACTGTTTTGACATACCTGATGGAGGGAACATCATCCTGCGGTCCTGTTCCCAAGTTGGTGACAGGGACCCAGTGTCAGAAGGTTCTCTGTGAACATCAGTTAACTTCTCGTTGCTTGAATCTCCTCTTTCATTACTAATGTGGTGGTCCAGAGGATTCTCTGGGCCTCTTGAGCCTAATTAAGGAAAGAAAAAATACAAATCTATTTTTATCTTTGAAAGTGTTACAAAAGACTTATCAAATAAAATGATACTCTTTAAAAAGTGAATACAGCTCTAACAAAATTTCCCTAACACAAATTAGACCACAATTTTATCCCACCAAAGCCTCTCCAGAACAAGTGAAAAATTTTTTGCCATGTACTTAAATAAATACTTGCCTATAAAATTCTTTTTTAAGTATTAAACATGATGATGGTGACATCACCACTTTACACTTAGAATCATAATACTAAGTCTGAAAAACAAGGGCATAGAAAGTATATTACAAAGTAAAGATCTCCATATTAGATGTAATAAGCTGATTGCAATATGAGGTTTCTGTTGCTGAAACTAACTGTCAATAGTCAAAATAAGCATGATTCTTCTCAGTAATCTTAGGGGCTATCTACCTATTTCAGTAATTTTGCTACTACTCAAAGTGGTTGTTAAGGCAACGTTTTTGGAAATGTGTTATACAGATTAACTTAAGAAGCACACCAAAAATTGTAACTCACTGTTATAACGTAACCCTCTACTTCTGCCCAAAAATGATTTTAATCAACCTGATTAAAAACTTTAAGAGTTGGTGGCATAGCTCGAGCAGTTAAGAGTACCTGCCTAGGGCGGAGCACTGGTGGCTCACATCTATAATTTTAGCTACTCAGGAAGCAGAGATCAGGAGGATAGTGCTTCGAAGCCAGCCTAGGCAAATAGTTCCAGAGACCCTATCTCAAAAAAAAAAACATCACAAAAAAGGGCTGATAGAGTAGTTTAAAGTTTAGGCCCTGAGTTCAAACCCCAGTACTGCCAAGACAATAAATAGTCTACAAAACCTTTTTGCCCATCAGAATAAATTTGGCTCTAACTGGCTTTTTAAAGTAACTTATAAATATCAAATTCACATTCAAAAAGAGAACTCACAACCTCTAAAGGCAAGTCTAAAACAAATTTCAAAAATAAATGCAACACTTTAAGAGACTGCCACTCTTAGAAACACTCTAAGAAGTCTGGCATGCTGACAGTTACAAAGGGTGAAATCATTTTAAAGTTCCCTTCTTATTATCAAAAAAAGAGTACCTTAATTAAAATTCTACACTCAATTAAAATGGAAAAGGCAAATATAAAAAATTTTAAGCATTCAATAAAAAATATTAATAGCTTATGTATCTGTCACTGAGGGTAATTATGTATCTAATTGCCCTAATAAGATAATTGTACTTATATATAGTAAATATGTATTTAACATATATTCAAATATATGTTATATACTTAATAAGGTAAATGTTTAAATTATAGCTAAAATATCATAGTTATAAAATAATAACTATAATATATATTATATTTTTTTGTATGACAATATATAAAATATATTTTCCAAAAAATAAAAATCTTATTTTTATTTTTTTTTTATATTTTGCTTGCTAGGCAGGTCAAATACCATTTGTCCTTATGGATATATATTCTATTATAGTACCCAAATTTTTCCTTCTAGTTTATTCATTAGAAGAAGGCTAGAAAAGCAATAAATAATCAAGAGTGTTCACCTAGCATGAAGCCCAGAGCTTTAAAAGATACATTCAAACACTTTGTCCTGACTGCTAACTACCAAGAGGATCACAGCTACAGACCAGGTGACTACCAAGTAAAAATGACAAACCTGAAAATATTAAACGTTAAAGTTTTCATTAAGACAAAAAGTTACACACAATTTACTCTAAAAAGAAAGTGTTTTCCTTTACCTTCTCTTACTCAAACATATTACCTCATCCAAACATTCAAATTTAAAAAGATAATAAAAGGAAGGAAAACTCTTCATGCTTTTTTAGTGGGGGTCACAGAAACTGTCAATCCAACTTTTAAGACTTACTGATAACTTACCAAGAACTTCTGTAGCTTTTGAAACAAATAATAAAACACCCTTACAAATAATTTAAATACATTATAAGCATCTTGAAAGCAATTAAATAGGAAAGGAATTTAAACAGGAAAAGAGAAATGAGAGGTAATTTTTAGTTTTATTTCAGATATTCATTTGACTACATGCAATCCTTGACTTAGGTAGTTCAACTTCTAGTAATTCACATCTGTAGTTTAGCCAATTATATCCTATCTGTAGTTGTAGGGCTTTGTTTTTCAGACTGTTAACTGCTACCCATTTGTGGTGTATGAAATTAACTTAGTCTTAATGAGCATTCCTTTTTAATAAAATGGGATAAAACTAAATAGAAAATTACAGAAATCATCAAAACTGTAAAGGTAAGTACTATTTCATGTAACTGGTTTCAATTCTGTTTATGTCAGAGTGTAATATAACATGATATAAGATATATTTCTTACTGTAAGTCAAAGAGAAAAAAGAGGGAAGGGAAATAACTTACAGCACTAAGCCATAAGCTTACAGCAGACATGTGAATTTCAAAATCAGTCCCTGTCCTGGAGTGCTCAACACAAAGCTTCCCCAGGCTCCAGGTCCACAGCATACTTTCCTTAGGAGCTTCCAGTTCTGGACCAACAGAAGCAAAAGCTCTCTCTGAGGTGAACCTCAACTGTGGGCCCAATATACAGGGGACTAGGAGGGTGGGAAGAACTGCCCACTTGAAGCAAACTGAAGACAAAGAGGCTATAAATAGGAAATCGGCAAAGGGAGTATCTCACAACCACGAAGTAAGAAAATGATTTTCTCATATTCTCTGAATGCAACTCCAAAGGAGGAGTTCCAAAAATGTTGAGAATAAAAGCAGGTTTAATAGGGAAGTAAACAGACTCCCTGAGAGACTACTGGGATAGAAACATCGATGTGAACGCATGCATGAACAAGACTCATTTGGGTTACCTTGGTGTGTTTACACAGTCTTACCATTTTATGTTCCTATCTTATATTCCATCTGTGAAAATCACTGATAAAATGGGTGGGGAAGAATGCCATCAGGTCTCATAAAACACTAACTTGGGAATGAAAACCTAAGACTTCTGATTTTGGAATACATAGGGCTCTGTATTTTCGACTTTAGCCACAAATCAAGGGAAAACTTTGAAGCAACTTGACAAAGTGAAGAAACTTAACACCATGGGTGACAATGGTAAGGTAAATGCAGGACGACAGTGACACTTGGACTTGAGGTAACTATAGAAACTCTCAAAAAACAGGTTAAGGGAGGTAGAGACAAAGCACACAATCCTGGGGAGGCCTCTCAAAGTACGGACAAATGATTTAAGTCTACTTGAAAGTTCCCATTTAAACTCTGCCTAAGGACTAGTAGAGAGGCTGAAGCAGTACAGCACCTGCCTAACAAGCATCAGGTCCTGAGTTTAAGCCCTAGTACCACTGAAAACAAATAAAAAAGAATACTTCTGAATGCCTTCACTCTTAAAAAAAAAAAAAAAAAGAGGGGAACTCTTTCACTTTCTGATTTTCTGCAATAAAAAAGTAATGGTAATAAAGTAAAAAGAGATTTTTAAAATTCTACATTGTAATCACGTTTCATCAAAATACAATTTTGTGGTCTGGAGATGTAGCTCAAGTGGCAAATAGCTTGCCTGGCATGCTCAAAGGTCCCGGATTCAATCCCAACAGAAGAAAAAAAAAAAGTGCTAGGTTATACTGTTAGAATCTTTGCATGCTTTAAAACTTTTTACATTAGGAAGTATAATACATAACTTTGAAGAAGTCAAACATATAGCTTAAAAATATGCATCAAGTGCTTGATTAAAATGTAATCTAGTATGGGATCCATATCTTTTTTTGGAAATGCTTGGGACCAAAAGTGACTCAGATTTTGGATTTTGGAATATTTGCAGAGCATCCCAAACCCAAAAAAATGCAAAATCTGAAATGGTCAAAAACCCAAACTTTATGAGCACCATTCCCCCAAGATCTTGGATTTCAGAGCAACTGAGATTTCAGATTTTCAGAGTTTGGATGCTCCACCTATATTATATTGTTTCTAAGAGAAAAATGTATTAAAATTACATTTTTAGAGATTCTTTCCTGAAAATAAATAAATAGCCTCAATAAGTGCAAGGAATGCCTGTATTTTCCAAATGTTTATCTTACAAATCACTTTAAAGATAAAAATACAAAGGAAGGAAGAAACCTAGAGTAATAAAAATGTTTAAACAATATACCTCTTCCTCCTCCCCCTGGAAGCAAAGGTGAGAGTCTGAGTGGACCCTCCAACAAAGTTGGAGGAGAGAGAAAAGCTCTCGTTTCAGACGAAGGTCGACCAAATGGTGAGGGACCATATGGGGAATGCTCTGGAATAATTAAAACAGCACATTTAAATTCATAGCTTCACTTATCTACTATACAGTTAGAATCCCATTTCAACAATTACCATCAGGTCATCCTGTTGCCAGCTTAAGTTGAATCCACATCCTGATGACTAACCATACCTTTGGTTGTGCTAATATGAGATTAAAATAAATACGGAGTCTAGGGTTTCTAAAGTTTTTCTACCAAACAGACATTTAGTCAATACACTTAAATAACCAGAAAGCTTAAACACAGGACAGTGGTGATACTTTGGAGTTATAGGATTGAAGGGGCATGAAGTTTGTCTTTTTTTTCAATTTTGTTTTTAATGGCAGTATGCTTCCAGGTATCTCAGCTGGTAAGGGCTGCAACACGGAAGTGGTCTGTTTAAATCTGGGCCAGAGCCGGATGCCAGTGGCTCACACCTGTAATCTTAGCTACTCAGGAGGCAGAGATCAGGAGGATCAAGGTTCAAAGCCAGACCAGGCAAACAGTTCATTGAGATGCTATCTTGAAAAAATCCATCACAAGAAAAGGAGCTGGTAGAGTGGCTCAAGGTGTAGGCCCTGAATTCAAACACCAGTACTATAAAATTAAATAAATAATAAAAAATAAGTATGGACCAGAGAGCTTGCGTTTGGGTCTAAAGTTTTTGAGTAAAACTCAAATTCTAAAAAGTAAAAAACAAAACAAAAAAATGCATAAAATACTCTGAAGCATAGACATTAGTTCTCAATCCTTACCAGTAAAAAATCATTTACATATAGCTAATGCGTCAAATAAATCACTTTCTCTAAATTCCATATAACCAAAAGACACATAACAAACTTAACCAAACTTTGCTTATGCTTCCAAAGGTCAAAAGTCAACAACAAAATACAAGCTTAACACCAAAATAATACTTTTTAAACATGATAAATCTTGTAAAGTATAGCTGTGATAATATTCAAATCAGTTATGACAAAAGATCAAAGCATTATTTATCTTCCTGGAGACTTCTGCATGGGGCCTTCTGTACAGTCTCCTCCATTCCAAACTGTGTTACTAATTGGAACTCATAATAATCTTAATAGACTAATTTTAATTAGTTGACTCTCGCAAGTGAGTTTTATAATTTTCCAAGGGATATTAAAGTTATAGTCTACCTAGAGAGATTTACCTTCAGTATTACTGGAGCTTAATTCCAATTCAACCAAAATTATTTTGAAAACTTTAAAAACTCTGGAGTAGTCTGAGATCATGAAAAATGCTAACTCTATAATAAATGAACTTATTAAACACATTTTACAAAGAACTGGTCCCCCTTGGGGAAATTATAGCAATCAAGACCCAGATTACTAAATTTTCCCCACCTTTTAAGTTTATAACTTTAAATAATTAAAAAAACTATTTTAATTTTATTTTATAATTTAAGCAAATTTCAAACTACAGTTAATATGTAAATAGTCACAATGCCATTTCACTTAAATACCTTCTCATCATTCCCCCAAAATAGTTAATGACCACCTTCCTAAAGTGCTAAATACAGCTTTTGAAGGAACTCACAATACTAAACATACATTAATTTACAAAATCCCACTTAAAAAGGGAGATACTGGTAATTGTCACTATCGCTAGGAAAACAAAACCCAGAAGCTTGGGAGATGGTGAGTGAGCTTAGAATAAAATAATGACTTCTAAACCTAAAATATTTATATAAATAATAGTGTTAATTTACACTGGTACAAACTGTATTTTCTGTATATGTAATTTATATGTATGTAACATTTATTTTAAATAAAAACACTACCTCTGCCAAATGCTGTATTTGGAACATCAAGTGCGTAAGGATCTTTTTCTAAAAGTTCAAATTTAAACTCTGTTTCGGTTAATCTGCAAAAAAGAAAAGAAAAGCTAAGTCACTCAACCAAGAAAAGCACCCACGTTCAATATCTGCATAAGAGAAACAGATCTAAAATTATTCTGATGGAAATGAAACACATAGAGACGCAAGGGGCAAGAGTCCTGGATGCAAAGAGCCTGGCTGTTCCAGGCTCCTTGTGCTGCCTATCACAAAGAAGAGCCAAGGCCAGCATCCCCATCAGTCCTGAGTTTCAAAGCAGAGGGGAGAGGGGAGGTATGTATTGAGGGACAGGAAGAGGTAGTAGTTTTGCCATATCACCAGGAGTTCTGTGGACATCTCTCTCCCTTCCCACCCTGCTGATGAGAACACACACATGGTAGGGGCTGTCTAGCCAAATGAGTGGAACTCTGGGACTCCCTCCTGCTCAGGAACACACAGGACCCCTTCCCTCTATTTCTTAAAAAAAAAAATAAATAAATAAAATAAAATTATTCTGATGAAAACACCTCCTATATTTCCCACTACTTATTTAGAGGTAACCAGTTTTTCATGTTGATTTTTGGGATTGGTTTTTTTTGTTCTTCAAAACTAGCTACAATGAGTACTGTATCACAGAATCCAAATTTTTGAAGTGGAAAAGCCCTCCAATGTCAACTAATTCAAGTCTATCATTTTACAACTAAGGAAACTGAGGTGGGATTTGTTCTAAAAGAAATGGCGGGATTGAAGCACAGCCATTTCTGGCTCTTGGATATGTATGCTTCCCACTGTACTGTGACCCATCTGATTCTAATCCTAGCATACAACTAGCAATCCCATTAACATCCTACGAACTCATTCTTAAACTTTTTATCTTCAAAATATGACATTTTAAAGGCATTTAATTTCTAGTTCTTGACTATCAGACCTGAAATAAAACAGTCATCTGATTTTAATTTCTGCAAGTAAAAAACTGGCAAGAAGACTAAAACTAGTATTCGATAATGTTAATAGTATAATCTGGCAAGAGACTATTACGTTCCCAGAAGTCTGTTATAGTCCTCATAGAAAAGCATTTACTCTCTCTTTTATTCTACACTTTCTCTCTTTTGTTATTTTACAACAATTCCACCTAATACAACAAAACGAAGGGATAAGAGAGATAATAACATTTATTCTATCTACTTAGCCATAAAGAAATGCTGATACTCTGAGCATCACTATGTCAGAGAGATTCATCTTTTCTCTTTCTTTTCCTTTTTTACATCCTGTCACGTACACTGGTTTAAAAAAAATTTTTTTAAGGTACTGGAGTTTGAACTCAGGGCCTCACACTCTTGCTAGGCAGGTGCTCTACCACTTGAGCCATTCTGCCAGCCCCCCAATTTTTTTTAAGATACACTTTTACAGAAGAATATGTTAATAGTTTCCTTCAAGTGCCACTTCAGTGATCTTTCTAAGTCAAATATTTTAAACAGAAAATCATAACAATAAACTAGTCACAGCCAGTGAAACTACAATATTTCACGATATACTGAGCTCTCTATAGATTTTCTTATTTATCCTTATAAAATATTACCTAATTAATATAAATAACAAAGTAATAACTAATGTTAAGTTCTCACTTCGACACTTACTTTTGTCTGTGGTAAGCATTTTCTTTCCTTAAATCAGTGAGGGTTCTTTCAGCAGTACGAGCTGCCAACTTAAAGAAAATACATTTTTAAAATATGCTCATAAACTTAAAATGAAAGAGCAGTGTAAATATCACAATGAAGGCATATAAATATCACAGTCATTTAAGTCTACATCCATGTCAGTAAACTTGATTTAAAACAGTTCAAAATCTATGGAATTACTCAAAAAGGGAATGAGTTCCATGTAAGTGGGAGGCATGAGCCTGGGCTGGGATTAACACAAATGTTACTACCAAGGTGGGTCACAGACTAGCATTATCTCACACTGGGATAACACTTTGAGAGCTGTGTGAGAGTACACAAGCTACAGCCATGGCAACAGAGACTCCCAGTCACTGTGCATGGCAGCACTGGCTACAAAAAGGTCTGGACTAACGCCATTATCACATTGAGAAACTATAAAGGTCTACTGACACAGCTTCGCAGCATGCCAGTATGGTTCTTTTTTTAAATGGTTAAAATAGTCAATGTGTACTGCACATCTGTTAAGTACAGAGTAAAGTACAGATGTCATCCCTCTATGTCATTTACCTTTGTTTAACTGGGAGGAGGAGGAAGGTTTGCAATACTGGTGGGGGGACAGTTTAAACTCAGAGCCTTGCATTTATTAGGCAAACACTCTACACTTGAGCCATGGCTCCAGCCTTTTTTTTTTTTTTTCTCTTTAGTTATCTTTTGAATAAGGTCTTATGTTTTTTGCCAAGGGCCAGCCTCACACCACAATCTTCCACCTATGCCTGCCATACAGCTGAGATTACAGGCACATACCACCATGACCAGCTTATTTGCTAAAATGCACTAGCTTTTTGCCCAGGCTTGAACAAACTGTGATTCTTCCAATTATGATTTGTTTAATGAGACAGGGTCTCACTATAAAACCAGAATGGTCTTGAACTTGTGACCCTTCTGCCTTGCCTGGAGTGATGGGATTACAAGTGTGTATTACTATGCCTGGTTTATTTTTTGATACTCTTTTTTGATTTTTTTTAAAGTCTCAAAGTGTGTGTGTGTGGGGTGTGTGTGTGTGTGTGTGTGTGTGTGTGTGTGTGTATGAAGCAAAGTTTATGCTTATTTTTGTTGTTGTTGAGAAGGTCTTGCTTTCCTGAACGCGCCCGATCTCGTCTGATCTCGGAAGCTAAGCAGGGTCGGGCCTGGTTAGTACTTGGATGGGAGAAGGTCTTGCTTTGTAGCTGAGGCTGGCCTTGACTCATGATCCTTCTGCCTTAGCCACTCAAGTTCTGGGATTACAGGTGTGTGCCTGCCATGCCTGGTTTATACTTACAATAAATACCAAAAACATACAATGCTAACAAAAAGTTGCTGGCAAAAGATGGGCTTATACAATATACCACCTGCTTCCCAGTGGTTCTGTGGGCTCTAGAGATTGGATGCAGCAGTGTGAGACATTACACTGACCAACTAATGCAATCCGCTAAATTTACCAAACAAAGGCAGACAAAGCTTAAACAAAGGTTAATTTAGCCTATAGTCATAACCCTTTCCAGGTAAAAGGAACTCTACCACAAAATTTACTTTCACTTAAAATTGTGAACTATGCATTAAAATTTAGTTTAACTGGCCAACAAGTAAATTATGCAAACATTCACTGAAAGCATGGCTTAAATAGACTTAGAATGCACTATCAAAAAAGATGCTATAGGGCTGGTGAAGTGGCTCAAGTGGTAAAAGTGCCTGCCTAGCAAACATGAGGCCCTGAGTTCAAACCCCAGTGATGCAAAAAAAAAAAAAAAAGATGCTATATGTAAATTTTTCCAATACATAATCACATTATCAATTTTGAACTAACAAAAAAGAATGTTACAATACAATTTTACTTTGTAAAGTATAACAATTCATTTAACTGTTAATGATGAAGAATCTTCTAAGTGTTTTCAATACAGTATAACACTGTAACTCAAGTTTAAGATACAAAAACTAAGCTATCAACATAAAAGACATACTACAAAAATATGTATAAAATGAGTTGATGATAAATGATTACAGACATTTGAAAAACTCATAATGAATGACTAGGTTAAAAAAAATTCAGTTTACTGACCACACTGAACTCTAAAACACTATATTCAAATATCATATACTTCTAATATACAAAGCACTCTAATAGGTGCAGGTATTAAAGGAAAAGAAACAGTCCTGCCTTAGAGTTTAACTCTTGTGGTAAGAACAAAGACCACAGGAATATACAAGAGTTGGGCTTAATGGAGCACACCTGTAATCCCTCAGGAGACTGAGGGGAGGATGGAGAATTTGAAACCAACCTGAGCTACACAGTGAGATTCTGTCTCAAAAAATAAAAACAAAGAACATAATGGTTGCCACATGACACACAAAAACAAAGTACTACATTAGTTCAAAGGAAAAAATGATTTAAAAAAAGGATTGAAAAGGATGAAGCACAGAAATGCTAAATGGAGAAAGTAACTGAAACTACAGTCATGAAGGTAAAAAAAAAAAAAACATGTTCATCAGATAAAAAAGGTTTTCACAAAGTATGGAGCATTCACAGAAAAATGTCTAAGGTACATTAAATGAAGAAACCAAGTTATAAACAGTAGGATACAAAAGGATTCCTCTCGACATGTGTATGCACTTTTATGTCTAAATACATCCCAAAAGTACAGATAAATCAAAGAGATATTGATGCTTACTTTTTAGTATCTCCCTACATGATCTGAATTTTTAACTTAATTTTACCACTGGCAAAATTATAGAAAGTGATTTCTTAAATGCTATCTCTATTTTCACCTAATTTAAATGACCAGTGTACCTTCTGCTTAAGGGAATTTGAGAAAAGAGCCTTAAGAAAATTTAAACTTACCCAATTATCATGTGCTTTTTTCTCATGGGAAATGATCTGAAAAAGAAAGTAAGTTAAAAACTAACAATATTTTTCTTAAGTAAAAACCACTGATATCTATCACTAAAAGCGAGTGTACAAACCATACACTCACAATACCCCAAGCATCTGTGAAGAGTCAGTAAGCAACATTTTTAAACCAAATTTTCACTCTATCATACTTTTAAAACAAAAATTTAATGTAAAAAAAATAAAAATTTTGCTAGTAAATTGCTATGTAATAATCTACCACAAGAGTTTTCAAATAAGAGATAACTAGCCTGACTGGTTATGAGAATCCCAATGCAGACATGTTTATTTATGTGATGTAATCCCTAGTCCCAAAAAGCAGGTTTTAAATAAGATTTTTTTTAATCTCACAATCTTTGGCCTCCTAGAAATGTTCCACAGCAACATTAAACATCACAAGAGAGGTATACAACTGCTCGAACAGTTATACTTCTATATCAATTCAGACAATTCAAAATTGTTTTAAATTACACACAGACACACACATACCTGCCCTTGGTAAGACTGAATGGTTCTCTCCAGTTCTTCTTCAAGATCTTTAGCTCGCTTTCTATATGGAACAAATTATTATTGTAGTATGGTATTAATATGTAAAAGGAAATGATAGCATACAAATACTCTCTACTAAAAATTTTTTTAATAAATTCACTTTAAAAGTTAATACCATGTAGGATTCTATTTCATGTATAATTCCTTCTTTTGGATTAAAAGTAAGTTTATTCTTCCTAAGGTAAAATGAGGATTCCCAGTATTCAGGGTACTGTTTTATCTTCCTTTTTTTTTTTTAATTCAGATTTTCTATTATTTCCTTGGATCCAGTGATGAATGAACCAAAAACTAGACCTATAATCTTACAAACACTTATTCAGAATGCTAATTGTGGCTCACTTTTCTTTTGTAGCACACTTATTGAATTCATTAACATTTGAACCAAAAGGGAAAGATTTTGAAATTAATGTCTATTCATACATTTCTTGATACTAACATAAAACAGGATTGTCTATATTCAACAGAGAGATATAAAAATGACACATCCTAAAAACACTTCCTCTCTTTTTTGTTGGTACAGTGCTGGGGAAGGAACCCTGGGCCTTGCACACACTGGTAGGACTCTACCTGCAACCCCAGCCCTCCTTTGTATGTTTTCTGTATAATGAAGAACTGCAGCAATCTGAATGAAAAGTAATGAAATAATAATTTACTTTTGACTGCTTTACTATTGTTGTCTAATATTGAGTTTTTAGATAACCTCCCCCCCCCAAAAAAAAACAACCAGTATTTAATACCTATATGTCTTCAGCTCCTCAGCTGCACAGTTGATTTTTTCATCTGTTTTGGAAAGTTTCTCCTCTTTATCAAGCCGGTAATTTTCCTCTACTGTTAGTTTCCTTAAAACAGAAAGTGTTTTATATCTTTTAATACATGGAACATGTATGTGCCTTGTATGCACATATGAATAATAAAATTTAAAAAAATACATGGAACATATATAAGCAATCACAGCTTTTTAACTGTACCAAAACTGGTGCTCCCCATAAAATAACTACAAACATCACATGCAAGAAAGATAAAAAGCACCTGTGTAAATATTCCTGGTGTAGAATTTAATATTAAATTCATGTTCAATCAATATTACTACTATAATAATATCAAGGGTTTTCTATATTGATTTATCATAAAGATAAGATTACAGAAGGTAAATATTAATAAAAACTATCATGACTATATTTATTAAGCTTTCCTGTGCATTACATTTGTGAGACAAGAAGTCACTGATAATAAACTGTTTCAACAATTTTTAAATTGGTGGTTGAAAGTAAGTTATTAGGCTTTCATGCCTTATAATTACAATAGAATAAACTCAAAACACATAATATTCGTGCAGTACTAGTCCTACTTACTACTACTAGTTCTTTTTTTTTTTTTAGTGGTACGGGGCTTGAACTCAGAGGCCTGCATTTTACCCTTGACAGCCACATTTCCAACCCTCTTAGTTCTTTTCATAACAAGTAACTTACTGAGCCATTAGTGTGTGACAAAAACTGCCCTAAGGCTTTTACATGTGTTATTTAATTACCACAATGGCTCTACAAGAAGGGTACTGTTATTATTCCTATTTTACAAAAATGAAAATGAAGCAGAGAGAAACTAAATACAATCATACGTTGCTTAACAACAGGGATGGGTCCTGAGAAATGAATCACTAGGCAAATGAATCACTGTCATTATGAGAACATCACAGGGTGATGGCTACAGTATCACTAGATGACATAATCTTGAGACCATTATATTGTGTGGTCCACAGTGACAACATGTTATTATGTGGCACATGCTATAACTGGACCAAAGCATAGGACTCACAAGTTTTGACTCTTATACTCTATACCCATGTTGTTTTACTTGGTATTGTTAATAATAAAAGTCTCTCAAGAAATATTTATTGACCACCACAGGAAAACATGCATAGAGTTCCTAAATGGATGTCTCCTCTCCTCAATGACCTTTGGGGAGGAACATTACAAACTACTAAAGAAATACTGCAGAGCAAAACTAAAAACAATTTTTTAAGACAGGACTCACTATGTAGCTCAGGCTGGTCTAAACTCTCAATCCTCTTGCCTCTGCCTCCCAAGTGGTCACTATGGTTTAAGTATTTTATATTCTACACACTTCATATTGATAGCTTAGAAAGAATTCCCCTAGGTCAATCTTTACATAAGTATTATAAAAAAAAAACAACACATCTCCTTAAGAAAGTCATAAAAGTGTAATAGGCATAGGTAAGAAAGAGAAGTGTTTTTAAACACGTGTGAAATAAAAGATTTTTGAGATTCCTGTTGAGAGGTAAGGTCTGTGTGCCTCCTCCCCTTTGAGTGGGCCTATTAGAAATAGAAATTACCCTGTGAAATGAAACCCAATAATAGGCCTTTACTTCATACACCCTTTACTTCACACATTCAGAGCAACACACTGAACTCTTAGGTTTTACCATTTCACTTCTCTCCAATAGTAAGCTTGAAAAAGTACTATCAATGTAATATATCAATTGTGAAAAATATCAAGCCAACCTGTAGAAGACTGAACCTACATTATCCACATGCAGGCAAGATTTAAACCTAACATTCTTCTGGTTCTATCAGCTCTCTATACTTTAGTCTAAAGAACAACCACTGGTATAATTCTCTGAATCTGAGTAGTGAACAGTTTAAGAATAGAACATATAACCTTTTGGGGATGCCAAACATTTCAAACAAATGAATTAATTACAATGTGAAAGCACAGCCTGGTAGAATACTATTTACTTTCTCATTCTAGCCTTGAAAATTGATAATAAAACAATTTTTCTTTGAAATTTTAAACATCCTCATTAAAAGTCCATAATCAACTTCAATATTTTTTGTTCCAAACATACACTCAGAAGTAATTTTTCCCTCAAATAATTCCTTTTATGTCCAAAATCTTATTTCTATAATCCTTCATTCTAACCTAAAAAGAATCAATGGCTTCTTCTAGGGTTACTGACTAAAACCCAAAGGTTACACTATTACTTCTCTATTTAGTCAAGCTTATTTCTCTTTCAAAGTCTGAGCAGTTCCAAATGGCCCAAGGTCCATGATGAACGGCAAGTTTTCAATACTGAATTTGATCCAAAGTATGAGTGAGGTATAGCAGTTGTCAGTGAATGCGTCTACCCAACCACCCAACATCCTTATCTCAACAGAACATTGATGTTCTTTACCAGTTTTCAAGTAGAGTAGACCTTGTTATCTGTACTAGTTATGACCTATAAAACCACCACAAATCCTAAATTAGCAAATACTGGATCATTATTCCCAAGGGTAATAGGCTGGGGATCCTGTTAGCCTCTGATCTAAACGCTTCTTAATCACTCAATACACAACTTTGTTTCAGGTGTGTTTCTAGATGAAGACACCTTATTTAACATATGCTGTTGATGCACTGACACTGAACTTAAAACCAACATCATAAGCCATGCTTAACCAAAGTTTCTCTGACACGTATATTCTCCATATACTCAGAAAACACTAGACAGCATGTCAGCACCATGCTTGGGGACCACTTTAAACAGTGAAATTACCAACAAAAGGCATAAAAAGGTGAACGATAAGGCACTAAATAGCTGTGAAAAGGACACCTGTTTACAGAATGAGAACTGAAATAAGATGATAGAGTACTGCCTTGTTCAACCTCACCTGGGAAGGCTCACATTGGGCAACTTAAAGTTTTCATAGTTCCAAGAATCTCTATGAATGCCCAAGAACTTACTCTGGGGTTACAAAAAATTTGATTAAGTGAGCACACCTACACATACAGAATCTTCGAAGAATGAGGATTGAAAAAATGACTTTCATTAAGCTCCTAAACGGGAATAAAAATCTATTACATGTTAATGTCCTTTACGATAAAAAATAATGCTATAAATATATTTGAAAATCTACAGTCTCCAGACAGATATCTCAAAGGTCTTCCGTGTATCAATACACTTAGGTAGCAGCTTATATAAGCACACATGCACTCCAATATATAAATGCACTAAACGTGTTTACTCATATAGTCAAAAAATATTTATTGAACACCTACTATTATTTGCCTCACATAGGCACTGGGAGTATATACAAGAAAATAAAGAAGTCTTCTCCCTGCACCGCCCCCCCCAAAAAGAAAGAAATTCTCTCATGGTTTAAATTTAACACGGGAAATATTTTTTTTTAAATCAATTCTCAGAGGATGATAAGGCTATAAAGAAAAGTAAAGCAAGATAGAGGGGACAGAGTGGCAGGTATTATTTTAGTTAGGATAGCATCTTCAGCATTTGAACCTAGACCCAATGAAATGAAGGACTGGGTTCCAAATATGCAGGGGACCACATTCCAGGTAAAAGGAACAAGTAACAAAAGGCCTTAAGATACAGATGTGCTTGACACATTAAAAATCTGTAGGAGGGTTAGAAGGGAAAATTAAAATAATCAAGCTAAAAATAAAGAGTAGCCATGGGTTCAGAGGCTGTAAAACTCTTTTAGGCCAAGATAAAAGCTTCAGATTAAATTTTGAGTGTGATACAAAGGTCTTAGGGGTCCAAATTCAAGAAAAAGGGTAATACACACGATTTATGTTTTAAGAATCATCTTATTTTAGAGAAAACACAGGGCAGGAGGTTAAGGTAGAAAGAGGAAGACTACTCACAAGGCTACTGTAATGAAGCCAGGTACTGGGCAATAATGGCTTGGACCACACTAGTAGTATTGGACAGCGGTAAAAAGTGCTCAGATTCAAACTGAGGAAAACGGATGAGATCTGATGATAGACCGAATATGGGATGTAAAAAAGAGAAGATACAGGATGGTTGAGCAGCTACCCTAGGCAACGACACTGCCATTAACTGAGCCAAGAACACTTGTGCAGGAACAACCCATGTACGGGAAATGAACGGGCAGGTCACTTGAAAATAATCACTCAGATTTCCTGATCCAGCCTGCCAATATTAGCAAGTTCAACGAGAATCTGTGACTAGTCACTAAAATAAAAGATGATTTTGTGAGTTAGCTTCTAACATCATTTACATTTGTTTCCTTGAAGAAAAGTGTTTCAGGATGAATATAATTCTCCTGAAAATGAACTGATAAAACATAATCCAATCATAAGCTAAGAATGAGTAAGAATCACAAATGCTGAATATGTAACATATAATTTTATTTTTTTTAAAATACTTTTTGCTTAGCCTCCATTCTGGATGTAAATATAGTTTAAAGCTATGTTACTTCCATCCAATGGAGTTATGAAAAACAATTTTTCTTACCTGTGGAGTTTCATTTCATTTTCTTGATATAGTTCAGTCATTACTTTAAGTTTCTGGTGAAGCTTTTGATTCTCACTTTCTAACTCTGCATTTTCTGACTGCAGAGAAGCTTGTTTAGTCTGGAGAGCTTTAATATGCTCTAAAGAAATTTTTGAAAAGCCATAATTAAAGGAGTAAATATTCTGAGTTGTATATTAGCATTTCAGTAAGATAAAAATTACTAAAATAATAACAAGCTAAACTTTCTGCAACAACTTTTTTGCCTGGGGTGGCCTCAACTTCAGTCCTACTGATATCAGCCTCCCAAATAGCTAGGATTACAACTCTGGTGCCCAGCTTTTTTCTTCTATTTTATGGAAGCTCATAGCTAAGAGATTGCCCTTGAATCTCAGTCGAGATTATGGACTTAGACTTGAACACTATCAGAACTTTTAAGAGTATGGGGACTCTTCGAGATGGCCTGAATGCATTTTCCATTATGAGACGGGCATGAACTTTTACAGGTCAGGGAAGGAATGTTATGGTTGGAATATGAATGCCCTATAGGCTCATGTGTTGAATGCTTGGCCTCTAGCTGGTAGCACTATTTTGGGAGGTTCTGGAAACTTTAGGAGGTGAGATCTAGCTGGAAAACATAGGTCACTAGGGGGTGGGTGATTGTCCTTGGCCCCTTCCTGTCTCACTCTCTGCTTCTTTGGCCATGATGATTGAGCTGCTCTGTTCGGCCATGTTCTTTCTCCCTTCCATAATGGACTGACACCTCTGAAACCATGAGCCCAATAAATCCTTGCTCCTTATGTTATTTCTATCAGGTACTTTGTCAAGCAATGAAAACACAGCACTCCAGCATGTGAGCTCTGTGGTTGTCTCCACATAAGAGTCTGTAAGTACCTGCCTTGTGTGCCCACACCTGCAAACCCATCTCCTTTCTTCCGTGCACCAACCTAGCCTCAGATAGCCAACAGGAAGCAACATACATGAGCTGGGAGTAATTGTGCTTTAGGCTCTTTGCATTTTATTAAGGGCTTGAACTAGAAGAGCAATGTGCAGAGCAGGTGTGAATTTCATAACAAAGATGCTGCCCTTTAAGACATACTTATTTCATAATTGATTCAGAAAGAAGCTTTAAAGAAAAAAAACAACTCACGATGCTTCCTTCTCTTCTGTAATAAAAATAATGTACTTGATTTGTTTTGTTCCTGCCATGGTTTTAGAAAACTCAGGGATACATGTAATGTTCAATAAGTAAACAACACAGACCTACTGCTTGTCTTGTATTTTTTCCCTCTAACTTTGTCAGTCCTATTCCCTTCATTATATATCATTTCAAGTTCTCTTTGGCATCCAGCAGGAATACACGTAATAAATAGCTGCACTCAGGGCTTGTGAACAATTAGCATCTGGAAAGGAGTGACTCCAGCTTTTCATTCCAGTGACTTGTGTATCTATGTGATATGTGCTCATCCTCAAGTACATTTTCTTTATTTCCCATTTTAAAAAAATCCAATGTTGCCTTTCACTGAGATTAAAGGACTGTAACCTGATGTTGCTTTACTAAGAAGTTGCATTTCCAACTTTTCCTTAAAAACAATGTGAACTCTCTGGGATAGGACTTTTGGCAGTGTTATGGGATGGTAGCTTTGGACTTGGGGTGAAAGCCAGATGGTATGGTCTGCAGAGGACTCTGGGAGCCCAGAGAAGGGTGTGCAGAAGAGGAAGACTTAGGGAGAGCTGCGCCTCACGAGTTTTATTTCTTCCATCTAACATGCTGATGTGTGCTGTGTGCCCAGCCTGTGCTGAGCTGTGCTGAGGGAAGGAGAGATCTCAGCCCTACTCCTGGGAGAGCTCACAGTATAGGGAAGGAATCAGACATAAACAGAAACAGGAAGATGTGATCTTGTGAAACCCAAGAAGACACACCAAGAGAGGGTGTGAGTGAGATTTTTCCTGACATACCACACAGTGGAGGGAGGGGACAGTACGGTGGGCAGGGCAGAAAGCGGATTTCCACTCACAATCAAGGTCGTTGTTGTTCATGCATGGCATTGGACGCCCGAAGCCGGGCCCTGCTGGGTAAAGTGGTAGCCAAAATTTAAAGAAGTGTTTGCATTTTCTCCAACATGCTACGATCTCCATTTCTACTTTGTTGCCCAGGGGCTGGCTCTTTGGTTAACAAAAAAAAAACACAAAAAACCCCAATCACTTATTCATTCCACACATGTGCCAGTGCCTAAACAACCTCTCTAGGCAGACCTTGAGGTAGTGGGTGGGGATGACAGCCTCTTCAAGAGCAAGGGAATGGGAGTGCAGAGCAGTCATAGGGTTGCATGGAGCAAAAGCATAGAGCTGGATGCAAAGCCAATTCTGCAG